ATGGATCTCACAGGCACCATTCCACCATACTTAGGCAACCTCTCATTTCTTGTTGAGCTGGACTTGAGAAACAACAGTTTTCATGACACCCTGCCCCATGAATTGTCTTATTTACGTCGCTTGAAGTTTATTGGCTTAAGATTCAATAATTTTATGGGATCCATTCCATTGTGGTTTGGGTCCTTCCCCAAACTTCAAAGATTGGATTTGTATGGCAATCAGTTTTCAGGTACCATACCTTCGACTATCTTCAACTTGTCTACATTGCAAGACATAAATCTAAGCTATAACAAACTATCAGGTACTTATGTGTCAACAAGGTATCTAGACTCTATTGTTGATCTATCATTATGTTTCAACATCTTGTTATTAATCTATAAGCCTAATATGTTTTTTTTTTCTTTAGAAAATTATGCTACTTTTTTCCTACTTGCAGGTCATCCAATACTCAAAAACTCTCACTTGAATAATGGTTGAGTCTATAATGTTGTTGTTGTTTTTTTTTTTTTTTTTGTTTTTTTTTTTTATACTCAAAGTTTTTACAAAACTTATGTAGGCTACAAATGATAAGACATAGATGATAGATTGTAACTAATCGGGAATATTTATGACCTTTTTCACATAGAGGCCCATTATAACATAATATTTTATAAATATAAAAAACACCATTCAAATCTAATACTGTAGAAAAATTCCATATTGTACCTTCAAGTGAAAAAATTGTAACATACTAATAAACCAATTAGAAAGTGACCAAGTGACTAGTTGAGAGTTTTTTTTTTCCTCCAAAAATAGCCACTCTAACAGCTTTTCTATAAATTATGTAATGTGGGGTTTTTCTAATTTCATTTATTTACATGTATTCTGAGTCTTTGTTTGGCATACTTAACAGGTGCAATACCTAGAGAAATAGGGAACTTAACAATGTTGAAGACGATAAATCTTGACTCCAACAATTTCAATGGTATATATATTTGTTGCATTGCCTTGATATGATACAATTATATATGACTCGGCTTTTGTTGCAGTGCATTATACGTGCATAAAACATGAGTTTAACATATAAATGTGCATATATTTTAATGATTTTTCAGAAATTCCAAAAGAGATCGGCTTTTTACATCAGCTGGAGAGGTTGTATGTGCAATTTAATGTCCTAAAAGGCCCTGTTCCTATGGTTGTTTTCAACATGTCTTCTTTGACTACGTTGACTCTATATGAAAACAGCTTGAGTGGTGGTCTTCCAGACAGTATATGCCAACATCTTCCTAGTCTTCAAATCTTGAGTTTGGGTCGCAACCAGTTTGATGGTCCACTTCCATCCAAATTATGGCAATGCAGAGAGCTTCTTATACTATATTTGAGTGAAAACAATTTCAGTGGAAGCATACCAAAGAATATTGGGAACTTAACAATGATAAAGGAGATATCCCTCTTCTCCAACAATTTGACGGGTAATTGATATTTCATTATGTTGATCAAATTATGATTTATCTTTTTTATTTTGGTTGCATAATTTATCGTTATTTAACTATTTCATATTTTAGTAAATGAGGGAGATAGTTAATCATGAATATAACAATTTTTTTTTTGTCAAAATCGCTGGAAAATTCATTAGAATCGAATAGCAAGGTTTACAATTAGGGATGGCAATGGGTCGAATCGGGGGTGGGTATGATATTCCCATCCCCATCCTCGTTAAGCTTTTCTCCCCCATCCCCGCCTTCATACCCGCAATATTCATATCGGGGATTCCCCATCCCAACCTTCGTTGGGGAATGGGTTCCCCGACCCTCCCCATTACGGAAGAAAAAAGCAATATATAACTACTTTGTTGAAAGAAAAAAAAAAACTAATTCAAGATAATAAATATATATAAAATATATACTTATAAGACAATATAAGTATGTATTGGAAGTTAACTAAATAAATAAGTAGTGTAGCTTAAGATTCGTATAAATTATATAAGTATATAATATAAAACTTAGTCGGTACAATCACTTTAATAGCATATTTATACATGGCAATATATATATATATACCTCATCAAAAAATTAATATATATTCTAAATGGGGAGGGTTCGGGTTGGGGATTAAAATACCATCCCCGCCCCTTCCCGAACACCATACCCAAAAAATTCCCCATACCCATCCCCATACCCGATTTTTATCCTTCATACCCGACCCATTAGGGTCGAATCCCTGCGAAGACCCTTACCCGTGGGAAAAATTGCCATCCCTATTTACAATTATGAATATAACATATTGACTTGCCTAATAAACGCTCTATCTAAGTCAATATGTTCAAATCTAAGGTTAACCAACAGAAGAAAAAAAGAAGTATTAATTAATATTTAGGACTTTTAGGACTTTTAATTTTATTTTTAGAGATTTCTGTTTGAAAATTGTTGTATTAATTAATATTATGATGTGATATTTTGGCACTGGCAGGCACTATTCCATGGTCCTCAATATTCAATATCTCCACCATCAGACTTCTGTCGCTTACTAGCAATCAACTATCGGGTAGCCTCCCAGCAAACTTAGGTCTTGGGCTTCCAAACCTACAACAACTCTATCTTGATGAAGCTGGTCTCAGCGGAGTAATCCCAAACCTCTCCAATGCTTCTATGCTCACGCAGCTTGATTTGGGGCAAAACTCATTTACAGGGTTTATTCCTAGCACGCTATGTGCCTTAACAAACCTTCAGTCGCTTAAGTTATTCATGAATAATTTGACGATTGATACTTCCACTCTCTCTTGTTTGGCTAATCTTGGAAATTTGACATTATTAGCCTTGGCAGATAATCCGTTAAATGCCAGACTTGATGATTCCTTTCGGAATTTCTCTACATCGTCGCTTCAATATATTTATTTATACAATTGCCGCATGAAGGGTAACATTCCCATTGGTATTGGCAACTTGAGCAGCTTGGTAGTCTTATCCATGGGATACAATCAATTGAGTGGATCAATTCCAACTTCACTGAGAAGCCTAGGGAATCTCCAAGGTTTGGTCTTGAATGATAACAAGTTGCGAGGGTACATGCCCTACCAACTTTGTCAATTAGATAACCTAGCTTACTTATATTTGGGTAGTAATAAGCTCTTTGGTTCTATACCTTCCTGCTTGGGAAATCTAACCGCATCTCTAAGATATCTATCATTGGAGTCCAATTCGTTGAGTTCCACAATACCATCTAACTTTTGGAGACTTGTCGATATCTTGTATGTAAACTTATCATCCAATTATCTAATTGGACATCTCTCACAAGATATTGGAAACTTGAAGGTTGTGATAGAGGTAGATTTATCAAATAACAATTTATCTAGTATCCTACCAAGCACTATTGGGGGTCTTCAGGGTTTGGTTAATCTATCCTTGGCAAATAATAATTTGGAAGGCCCTATTCCAAGTTCATTTGACGGGTTGCTAAGCCTGCAACTCTTGGATTTGTCCAGAAACAATCTGTATGGAGTGATTCCCAAGTCTTTAGAAGCTCTGTCACTTCTCAAGTATATGGATTTGTCTTTCAACAGGCTCCAAGGAGAAATTCCAACTGGTGGACCGTTCCAAAACTTCCCTGCTCAATCATTTGTCTCAAACAAAGCACTCTGTGGTGCAGCCCGACTTCGGGTTCCACCATGCAAAAATGGTACACTTGAACCAAATTGGAGGAAAGCTAAATATATCATCCCAGGGATTATATCAGTAACTCTCTTTGTGGCCTCTGTATCTGTCTTTATACTACGCAGGAAAAGGAATGTGGAAGTTGCAGGAGAGGCTACCTCGTTGCCTCAACTTCTTTGGAGAAGAGTTTCACATCTAGAACTTCTAAGGGGCACAAATGGATTTAATGAAAACAACCTACTTGGAAGTGGGGGTTTTGGTTCAGTATATAAAGGGACACTTTCAGATGGAATAGATGTTGCAGTAAAGGTTTTCAGTATACAGCTAGAACTAGAAGGGGCTTTCAAGAGTTTTGATAGGGAATGTGAAATGCTAAGCAATATTCGTCATCGAAACCTTATCAAAATCATCAGCTGTTGCAGTGAAATTGATTTCAAAGCCTTGGTACTCAAATACATGCCTAATGGGAGCCTCGAGAAATGGTTGTACTCTCAAAATTCTTTGAATATCTTACAAAGGTTGAACATAATGATAGATGCTGCATCTGCACTAGAATACCTACACCATGGTTATTCAATACCTATTGTGCATTGTGATATGAAGCCAAGCAATATACTACTGGATGATTATATGGTTGCACATGTTTCTGATTTTGGAATTGCAAAACTCTTGGGTGGAGGAGATTCTATTACCCAAACCATGACTCTAGCCACTGTTGGGTATATGGCTCCAGGTGATGTACTTGCTAATTTAAAATCTTTCAATTCTATACATGCTGTCCTTAATTATGCATAATTTTCATTTAATATATATTCATACACATGAATATATAAGTATAATTCATAATGCAGAGTATGGATTGGAAGGAATGGCTTCAACAAGAGGGGATGTGTACAGTTTCGGAATTTTAGTGGTGGAAACATTCACAAGAAG